GTAAAGCTCTAGCATTAATGAATTTCATACAATTTCTTTGTGAAAACACAGTTGGCACATAGCTGATTTATATGCATCATGTATTTCTGAATGCTTGTCTAGTTTTCAGCTGTCACATTTAAAGGCTTCTAGACATCTGTTAAACTGGTATTGCAAACAAAGCCCAGTTTTCAGATATTAAATAAAACAAATGCTTCAAAGGCTCAATTTTAGTAAATGGAAAAACAAAATCATTCTTTTTCTTAAAAGTAACTTCATAAGTCATTCAATTATTCACAAAAGTAATCACAGTTTTAATAATGTTTTCCTTTCCCATACTGCACTTAAAACTGAAAGTTATGTTTCACACTACTTCCAGCTCTGTTAAATGCTGATGCAGATAAGGAATTCAGAAAAAAGCGTTAACATTAGCTGGGTGAACACTGAAGCAAAGTATTACCAGACCATTATAAATGCTAAAGCTGTCTGAAACACCTGAAGCTTATTCTAAAACTCTCATTGTTTTAGAAATACTCTCATTGTTGACTATAGGATTAATTAACATTTTACACAGCTTTCAAATTACACCTTCACAAGTCAGGTGGTTTTAAGTTGAACAACTTAACACATGATTGCCTAAACTACTCCTGACAATGGCACATGTTTAATGAGGTCTCTAGCTTGTGAGTAATTGATGTGGAAGTGCTTGCACATCATCTAATGTAGGTCTGCATTACAGGAGTTTTCCCTTTGGCTTAAACTACTCACAGGAGGAGTGGCACAGCACAACATCTTAACTCTACAGCTTCATCTAAGGAGCTATTTTCTGCAAGCAACTATTAAACAGAACCACAAATATCCTGGAGTGATTCTTATATACCACAAGTCTGAAGTGCAGTGCAGGTACATTTCTTAAAATAACAGAACACTTCAACATATCTTTTGGCCACCAGAAAGTCAAACACTAAAGAGGAAATTCAGAAAAGGTGACAGGTTTGATCTAGGAAAAACAAATATAGTTTTAAAGCAAAAAACTTGTAAGTATGCAGCAGCAAAATGAAACTTAAGAGAACATACTACCATCTGTTTATAAAAAAAAAAAAATATCTCAGCGGTTTGGCAAATGTCATTGCCAGATTGATAAATCTGTTGGGAAGACTTAGAGCCCTCTCTGTTAAACCAACTCTATTCTAGGTACCTCTTACAGGAAAGCTCTATGCAGTCTTAAGTTAACAATGAATGAAATCCATTAATACTAATGCAATCTTTCCAGTGATTTAACGTTGCAGTTTACAAGTTCATATATTGGCTCTAACCACATGACCCAGAGAGATGACAGGTTGACTTTTTCTGGATATAGTTACCTTCATGTATTTCTGTCACCTCACCTGAATATCAAGACAGTAACTGTAATCTGAGGAATCTACCAAGAAGGGGAGGACATTCAGGGAAATAAACCAACCCCTTAACTCATAGAATCATAGTTAGGGTTGGAAAGGACCTGCAGATCCTCTAGTTCCAACCCCCCTGCCACAGGCAGGAACACCTCACACTAAACCATCTCATCCAAGGCTTCGTCCAAACCTGGCCTTGAACACCACCAGGGATGGAGCATTCACAACCTCCCTGGGCAAGCATTCCAGTGCCTCACCACCCTCATAGGAAAGAACTTCTTCCTTATATCCAATCTAAACTTCCCCTGTTTAATCCCATTACCCCTTGTCCTATCACTACAGTCCCTAATGAAGAGTCCCTCCCCAGCATCCCTATAGGCCCCCTTCAGATACTGGAAGGCTGCTATGAGGTCTCCACGCAGCCTTCTCTTCTCCAGGCTGAACAGCCCCAACTTTCTCAGCCTGTCTTCATACGGGAGGTGCTCCAGTCCCCTGATCATCCTCGTGGCCCTCCTCTGGACTTGTTCCAACAGTTCCATGTCCTTTTTATGTTGAGGACACCAGAACTGCACACAATACTCCAGGTGAGGTCTCACAAGAGCAGAGTAGAGGGGCAGGATCACCTCCTTGGACCTGCTGGTCACGCTCCTTTTGATGCAGCCCAGGATACGGTTGGCTTTCTGGGCTGCAAGCACACACTGAAGCCGGCTCATGTTCATTTTCTCATTGCCCAGCACTCCCAAGTCCTTCTCCACAGGGCTGCTCTGAATCTCTTCTTTGCCCAACCTGTAGCTGTGCCTGGGATTGCTCCGACCCAGGTGTAGGACCTTGCACTTGACATGGTTAAACTTCATGAGGTTGGCATCAGCCCACCTCACAAGCGTGTCAAGGTCCCTCTGGATGGCATTCCTTCCCTCCAGCGCATCAACCGAACCACACAACTTGGTGTCATCAGCAAACTTGCTGAGGGCGCACTCAATCCCACTGTCCATGTCACTGGCAAAGATGTTGAACAAGACCGGTCCCAACACCGATCCCTGAGGGACACCACTCGTTACTGGTCTCCAGCCGGACACTGAGCCATTGACCACAACTCTTTGTGTGCAGCCATCCAGCCAGTTCTTTATCCACCGAGTGGTCCATCCATCAAATTGATGTCTCTCCAATTTGGAGAAAAGGATGTTGTGTGGGACAGTGTTGAATGCTTTTTGCACAAGTCCAGGTAGATGACAGCAACTGCTCTACCCCTGTCCATCAGTTCTGTAGCCCCATCATAGAAGGCCACCAAATTGGTCAGGCAGGACTTCCCCTTAGTGAAGCCATGCTGGCTGTCACCAAGCAACTTCATTTTTTTTTCATGTGCCTTAGCATGCCTTGCAGGAGAATCTGCTCCAAGATTTTGCCAGGCACAGAGGTGAGACTGACTGGTCTGTAATTCCCTGAGTCATCCATTTTCCCCTTCTTAAAAATGGGGGTTATATTTCCCTTTTTCCAGTCGCCAGGAACTTCACTTCAAATATAATGGGCAGTGGCTTAGCAGCTTCATTCACCATCTGCCTCTTCTTGGCCAATACTCACATTACTACAGTTCTGTAAAAAAATTACCTAATCGAATGAAACACAATGAACTGAACCTAATTCCACATTCAAAAAATCACTTGGAGCCCCAGTCAGTATTAAGGAGCTGTTTACCATTCAAACAGCAGCTTTACGCACCTCACAACTCCCTACTGAATTCCAATTCAAACCTGCACAGTGACCCCTCTCCCATCTATAGAAAAATAAAATACAGACATTTGTAAAATTAACAGGAACACTGTCTCTCCTCTTAAACACAAAACAATCTGTGTGTAGGACAGTTGGTAGCACAGGAGGGTCTAAGCAAAGGAGGAAGTATGTCTCCCCTGTGACAACGAAAATTAACAAATCACATTGCTTGGAAAAGAGTATTTACATAAAACTGGCTTTGTAAATGACTCATAAAATATCTAAAATTCAACTTCTTTTTCCAGATTCTTAACCTCATAAGTAAAAAGTCTGTACTTATTTATCAGTGGTCAATAAAAATGCCCTTAGTAAAATACAAAATTCTGCTAAATTCAATACTTTATATTGTCTCCAAAAGAGCATTCTAAGAAGCTGTATTACTTTTTGAAAGAGGCACTCACAAAAAGAAAGTCTAATAATCTGATTCTAATCTCCACAACTGATCTGTTTCCCCAAATCCCAGTTGTTTGCAACAGACAAGTAATCCTACCACCTCACATAGAGAGACCTTTCTTAAAACCATCATATACAGATGTCTAAAAGAACTATGAAGTACCCCAAGAATCATGAGGTGCTTTGAGTCTTCACCCAGATTAGCAGTGACTGGAAGTAGGAACTCAAATGGAGAAAACTAAGCATTTTTAAGACTGAACATGCTGAAGTACATGCAGCCACTTTAGTGTTGACAGAATCTTTTGCAGGTGAGGTACTCTCAGACGCTCTAAACCAGGCTGCCTTCTTGCAACACATACATCTCTCCAGTCTTTGGATTGCCTCTGCTCTGTAGACCCATACTTCTCTCCACAGACATAGCAGTATACACTATCCATTCCTTACTTCCTTTTCTGCCTCAAAAATCCTTGCATCCCCTACTCCAGCAAGGCCAGTTCTGGGGCCAACCTCCTCGATTTCCAGCCTCCAGCAGAGGTGCTCCTGTGCTTCCTCATAGCAGAAGCAGTTCCTTCAATCCTCACAAAGTCCAGACCTTGCACTTCACACCTAGGCAAGAAACTGCATCACCCCTATAGTTTTCTAGAAGTGCTGAAGCAGCCTGGACTACCCTGTAAAAAGGAATCTTTCTAACTACCAATTATGACTATGGATTATGGAAGAAAAAATGTTTTAAAAATCAGAAACAAAGTAAAGCTTTTCCAGATCCTGAATCAAGGCAGAAATACAACCTTAAGATTTACTAAGGATAACATAAAGACAAAAAGAAAAAACACCAAAACCAAAAACACAACAACAAAGAGAAGCCTGAATTAGTAGAGGAAGAGTTGGGCTTTCTTTTCCCCACCTGTAAAACACACAGTGAGGAAAAGACAAGAAACCAGAATCCAAGAGCACTGAGGATGAACTAATCTTCTAGGGAGACACCAGGGCTACCTGCAGAGCTGCTGACAAATGCATCAACTTCTCAGTAATTCAGAGTTCTTCAGCAGACAGCCAGGCACAGCCCTCTATATTTTCTCCTTGCAAATATGGGTGAACTTTTATCTTTAACATTTATCTTAATGAAGAATTTGGGAGCAGGAAAGGAGAGAACTTCTTCATAGAAACAGAAACAGCTTTTTTTTTAAATTTTTTTATTACTTTTAGTGAGCTTCCTGCAATTTAAATCTTTCCCAGCCTAATATTTACACATTTTATGACTGTAACAGCCAAGCCAGCCATTGCATTACCCACTGAATAAAAATAATTCCAGTGTGTTATGGAAGGGGCAGATTGCACCCATAAAATTTCACAGCTACTGAAAGTCAGGTCCCAGCTTAGGGACAGACTAGCAGTTACTAGAAGTAGTATGTATATACATAAATAAGGATAGCAAATTCAGGTTTAATTTTTTCATCTTAAACTGACCTGCTCCTTCTTCAGGTCATTTCAATTAGCACATGACTCCCATGGAGGGGCCGTGACATCAGCCGCAGCACAGGGGCAGAGCACAGGTAAACAGCCTCACCTACAAGCACCAGTAGCACTTGGGAGCTTCTTTGTTTGCTTTGGAGGGAGAGAAATGAGAGGACAGTTACTACTGGCAGTCAGTCAAGAATTTCTCCAGGGAAGAGGAACATACATTTTTCCCAAGCAGAGCCCTTCAGTAGCAGCTGCTGGCAAACGCAGCCCCTTGAGTTTTGCCTTTTCATGCTGCTCCTCTCTCAAACAAGGTGATTTCACCAAGGCTGAGAACACGTTCTGCAGTGCCACTGAAGCTGTAACACCCTAAGGATTATATTTGCAGGGTCAGTCATACAGCCAGGAACTTGAAGCTGGCATGTTCCCTAACACTGCTTCTGTCAGACTACTCTGGTCAATACCCTAGCCTCTCAGCCAAAAGCAGAAAAGCTACTCTTCTACTGCCATTCTTGGAACCTCACCCCAAATGTTTCACAAGCCACAGTAAGAGATTAATAATAAAACCAGGGATGAGCTCAAACAGCTAATTTTCAACACTACATTTTATGCCTGAATTCCCTGCATCAAATCATGTTAAAATACTAGGCAGCCAGAAATAGCAATCAGTCACAGGTTGCCACCATCAGTGCCAAAATATTAACAGCTGAACCTGAAATTGGGTAAACCTGAAGTTCAAGAAAGTAAGCAGCGCTCAGCGATTGTTGTATTAAGCAACTGGAACTTGAGCTTTTCCACTTCCAAGTTTCAAGTAACTTCAAAAGGTCAGGTTAATATCAGAAGTAACTAGCAATTCAGAGGTTGTTTAACAGTAAAGAAAGACCTATGATTGGCAGCAACAAAATGAAGACTGCAACTAGCAGAATACTGAGATACTGGCATTTATCTAGAAATAGGTAGCATAAAACCACATGCAAATGCATAGAAAGCCACAAAACCAGTTCCCGTTGTTAAGCACTGCTCCAGCTGAACCATTTCCTAGAACTGCTCAGCCAGCTGGCACAGACAGAGCCACCAAAGCTCCAACAGCGCTTTCACACACTGCTCCCTGTGGAGCACAGGCCAGGCCAGCACGGACACTTCACATCACATTTTCCTCAGAATCTAGCAGCATGCATTTATTCAAACCCAATATCAAACAGCAATATTTTCTAAAGTGGTTTAAGAAAACACTACTCCTCAACTCAGGTCAGCAGCTCCAATGTCAAATGCTGAACCTGCATTCACAACTTCAGAGTACCCTCTATATAAAACTCAATATTTAACTGCTATGTGTGTTTCTAAACACAATTCTTGTACTGTGAAACATCTCATACAAAAGATCCAAAATAAGACAATTGATATAATTTCTGCTGCTTCTAAAACATTTGTTTTGTTTAATATCAAACAAAATGCAGCTGAGAACTGAATCTTTACTGCCAAACACACCACCTTGCACAATCAGGAAAATTAAGAACAAAGTAACAAATGCACACACAGAGTAATTTACTCACAAATGACATCAGTTTTGCAGTGATTCTCTTTTCAAAAGAGACAGGTTTTGCTTTTTATCAATAAAGCTCTTATTGAGAGGATTTCACTTAATCTACCTTCCTACTCTTGCACCTCAGTTTCTCTAAACTCTAAAATATTGTCACATAATGCCACTCTGTATGCTACAGCAATTACACTACAAAAAAAAAATACTAGCATATAGTAGTCATCCATGAGTTAAGGCATTGCTTGTTAATGGTACAGAGACAATAACAGATTGTCACAAAGAACAGGAAAAGAACCACACTGAACTGCACATTTCTGTTTATCTTCTGCACACTCATATTACCTACACCAGTCCAGTAACTGGCCTCACCTCTGGCACTTTCAGTGCTACTCAGTTTTATCTCCTTTACGACAATCACTAAAGCAGCTGGTCACAGGAGAAAATTATCCACAGCCTGTTGGCTTAGGCTCTGCCTGGCAATTAAGTAAAACACACATCACAGACACCAGCAGCTCTAGCTTTGTAATATGGCAAGCTGAAGTAAAACAAGAGTAAGATTCAGAAAACAGAAGAATGAGAAAATAAGTCAAAATATGATCTAAAAATGGTCTAAAAATCAGACTTCCAGTAACCTGAAGACAAGGAAAGAAAGAAGCATAAGCGAATGCATTCTATCAGCTCCATGAAAAGATGTGAACATTTGTGCTTGGTTATCTACCATTCAGCCATTTCCCTCTCCTCAAAGGAAGCAGGGAAGTCTGATGGTTTGTGGCAAAGGAGATGAAACCTGCCACTTCTTCATCATCTGTGAATATTAACTTCGTGCTATCCAGATTCCCTGGTTTCTGGAATATATATTTTTAAAAGGTACATATTCTGAACGTGAAGTGACCTGTAGAGAAAGCCACCAACATAAGTTTTTGAAACATCCTAACAACTGTCCTGAGACTTATGAAGTTTAAGATTTACCCAAACTTTATCTGAGGCTTGCGAGTTAATTTTGGTGATAGTCAAATCAGCCCTGTTTATCCAAATCAACAACAACAGCAGCATTTACAACCTCCCAGCATTTCTCATTGTCAAGTCAGCTCCTCTAACATGACCAGTAAAGACAGCTGCCCTAGAATACCAGCACATCCTCTCTGGAAAGTTATCATCTGTGGCCAACAGCAGTTACTTAACGTACATATCCTCACCAAGTTATAAATCACTTCTGATTTTCTTTCTTACAGTGACACTCTGCTACTATATGGCATTCTGTACTAGAAGTCTTCCAGGGTTTTGTATTTCGTGATAAGGATATACATGACACAGACATCAACACAGAAGGTTGCACAGTGAAATGATGCATTTGTAATGGAAGATACTGCAAATTCCTCTGTTCTTAAACATTATGTTTTTAAGAAGTGATTGATTAGACATTAGCAGAGACTCTTTAAGATAACTATCTTCCTTTGTAAAACCGGTTTGATTCACATGCCAGTAAGATGTAAATGAAGAGACAAATAGGCTGCAACATGCAGTATTAAAGAGCCTGTAAACAGGCATTTCTATTGCTGCAGATTAACTGTGACTTTAAACACACACAAAAAAAAAATAATAGGTAGCATTTTTCTAGTGTGTCTAGAATGAATAGTGCTACATCTACAGACACAAACACACACACACACAAAAAATCCCTCTGCAAACACTGCTGTGTTACATCTCATGGGGAGAATACAGCTTCTTCAGTGTAATGTCACGTGAAGCTCCACTACAGATGGTTCCATGATGAATCCTATTATTGCAATATATGAAGTAACACTTTCCCAACTGTCTCTTGCAGGTCAGTTTTGCTGCAGAAATCATAAAGCAGAATGGCTCTATCAAAAGAAAACGTGTCTAATTCTACATTTTGGCAAAGAAGCTGTTATGACAGCAGATTAAAAGACTATTCTTAGCAAAACTTTTTTTCAGAAATAACAGGATGAGGCAAGGATCTTCCAATTCCTTTATCCTTTTTCACATAAAAGATTACACTAAAGGACAGTAAATGGGGAGAAAATCAAGGCAAACGTATTTAAAGAAGCTTAAATTATTCAGGTTTATGGCAGAGCATTATTTGTAACCCCCTTTTTTAAAAAAAAAAGAGGACTATTCTTAGAATCTGAAATCAGTGAAAAATCAGAGAAGCAAGACTTCAAAAACCTGTTCCATTTTAAGTATCCAACTCAACTGTGACAAAAATGCAGTATGAATGCATGCTGCTGGAACCCAGAAAATGGGTTAAAAATCTAACTTAAACTACACTTCTGCCAAATGACTGGGACTACTGCATTCAAGAGAATGCTACTCCATACTACATTTTGTGCAGAATAGTATGTCATGGTCCATTCAGCTTACTCAGGGACTTGAAAAAGCTTAACCGTGATCAGAAACACAGAACAGTTAGGGCTGGGAAGGACCTTAAGATCCTCTAGTTCCAACCTCCCTGCCACAGGCAGGAACACCTCACACTAAACCATGTCACCCAAGGCTCTGTCCAACCTGACCTTAACACCACCAGGGATGGAGCATTCACAACCTCCCTGGGCAACCATTCCAGTGCCTCACCACCCTCACAGGAAAGAACTTCTTCCTTATATCCAATCTAAACTTCCCCTGTTTAATCCTATTACCCCTTGTCCTATCACTACAGTCCCTAATGAAGAGTCCCTCCCCAGCATCCCTATAGGCCCCCTTCAGATACTGGAAGGCTGCTATGAGGTCTCCACGCAGCCTTCTCTTCTCCAGGCTGAACAGCCCCAACTTTCTCAGCCTGTCTTCATACGGGAGGTGCTCCAGTCCCCTGATCATCCTCGTGGCCCTTCTCTGGACTTGTTCCAACAGTTCCATATCCTTTTTATGTTGAGGACATCAGAACTGCACACAATACTCCAGGTGAGGTCTCACAAGAGCAGAGTAGAGGGGCAGGATCACCTCCTTGGACCTGCTGGTCACGCTCCTTTTGATGCAGCCCAGGATACGGTTGACTTTCTGGGCTGCAAGCACACACTTAAGCCGGCTCATGTTCATTTTCTCATTGCCCAGCACCCCCAAGTCCTTCTCTGCAGGGCTGCTCTGAATCTCTTCTCTGCCCAACCTGTAGCTGTGCCTGGGATTGCTCCAACCCAGGTGTAGGACCTTGCACTTGGCATGGTTAAACTTCATGAGGTTGGCATGAGCCCACCTCACAAGCGTGTCAAGGTCCCTCTGGATGGCATTCCTTCCCTCCAGCGCATCAACCGAACCACACAACTTGGTGCCATCAGCAAACTTGCTGAGGGCGCACTCAATCCCACTGTCCATGTCACCGACAAAGATGTTTGAACAAGACCGGTCCCAACACCGATCCCTGAGGGACACCACTCGTTACTGGTCTCCAGCCGGACATTGAGCCATTGACGACATTTTGCGTGCGGCCATCCAGCCAGTTCTTTATCCACGGAGTGGTCCATCCATCAAATTGATGTCTCTCCAATTTAGAGAGAAGGATGTTGTGTGGGACAGTGTCAAATGCTTTACACAAGTCCAGGTAGATGACATCAACTGCTCTACCCCTGTTCACACTTCCATAGCCCCATCATAGAAGGCCACCAAATTGCTCAGGCAGGACTTCCCCTTAGTGAAGCCATGCTGGCTGTCACCAACCACCTCATTGTTTTGTATGTGTGTAATCTAACTTGAAATTCATAAGAAGAGAATAAATTACTGATCTTGGCACTACACT